CTGTCACCAGGTGGTTAGATCTGTTACTAGGTAGGGGAGCTCGGGAGTCCGTCCACTCCTCCTGTATAGATTCAGCTCAGGTCCCCAGGTAGATAACCACAAAGTGTGTTGTGTAGGTTCTCACTTACAGTCCTAGACAGGCATGGGTGATTGGTGTAGGCACAGGCACCTGGCTGCAGCAGGGGGACATACTTTGAGCAAGGCAGGGGGCTGAGGGCTGCCCCTGAGTGTCCAGGAGGAAAGCATGTCCCTGTTCCCTAGAGTGCGTAGGTGGGTGGGTTTTGTAGCCCGATTATGAGCACCTAATGCTGTTGGCTGTAAGGACTAGGGGACACCTCTTATTCATAGGCCCCTATCACAGGTGGCTAGGTGGCATGGGTGGAGCCACCAGTCCTCAGGCCCCTGATATGGGTAGGTGAAAACTCTGCTTAATGGGCAGAGCAGTGTCAAATGTCAAGAACCTGCTACTTCACAGCTGAAACAGTTGAAGTTAGGATTCCGGTATGTACCCTGTTGTACTGTGGTAATGAGGTCCTACGCTGTTGAGATGGGCCCACACAAGTCTATGCAGGGGGAAAGGCACTCAAAGTCCATGGATCCCTTATGCCTGTGCCTAGGCAAAGGAGCTGTGCCTACCCTGGGTTCTTGGCTTAGGGGAGCCAGCAGTTTATTTTTTCCCCTGTTTGTTAATCTGTTCACTCTCCAAGGCAGGGAGAATGGCTCCGGGCATATGACGGATCCTACCTCCGGCCCAGGGGGTTCGGCAGTTGCTGAAGCTGATCCGAGACCCAGTGCAGAGCAGGGAGTGGGGAGGTAAATGGGAGAGAGGCTTTTCCCTAAGGGGGGTGTTTTTTTATCTGCGCGGTAGGCCATACCCAATTACTTATCTTTCACCGGATTGAGGGATGCTTCTCTCTGGTTCTGAGTGGCTGTGTAGACTCTCTGGTGCTGGAACTCTCCCAGTGCGGAAAACGTGCCTCCTGAGCACGGCTGCTTGCCTGCCTCACCACTGCCTCACCCCCGAGCTACTCAGGTCTGAAGGGTTCAGGCTCTCGCCAGGTAAGGTCTGGCAACTCCTCGCTGCTTCTAAACCGTCTCTCCCTCCTCCTGCCACTCAGTCTGGTTCCTCCACTCTGCCTTTGATGTTCAGGACTCCAGATTGCCATATATAATCGAATCACTTGTTTTTTTTGGGTCTTTGTTGTAAAAGGGGCCACTGGAAGCGTCTGACTACTCCGCCATCTTGGCCCCGCCTCCCCCCACAACACCCTTTTAACTGAGTACTGAAATCACTCCTGAGGTTCACTTTCAGTCAAAGATTAGACAGGTCTATAGGGTCAACTACAATAGATGCGAGGAACATGCTTCGTAGTTCAACACCAGCCCAAAAGCAAAGATGAGAAGGCAGCAGGGACAGGGAAACTGGACGAATAGAAACAGGGAACCCAGAGTTGAGAAGTGGAAAGTTGTGACACATCTCAGGGTTGGCAACCAATGTCATAAAACAATTTGTGTATTAACTGTTTAACAAGAAACTAATTTGCTCTGTAAACTTTCACCTAAAGCACAATTAAAAAAAAGAATAACATTAAAAAAAAAATGAGCTGTTCGAGTTCACCCAGAGGTGCCTCAGAAGAAAAACCTGGTGATCGACGTCCGAAAAGTCAGCCATTGGAAACCCTATGGAGCACAGTTCTGCTCTGACACACACAAGGTAGCCAGGAGTCGGAATTGACTCAACAGAAGTTGGTTTTCTTCTTATGGGTAATAGTCGTTCTGCAAATAGCTAATTAAGCGTTGATCCTGTGCCAAGCATGGGAGTCAGGGAGGGCCTCTGGGAGGAAGTGACTTCACACTGGGGCCGAGTAGTGAATGAGTGAAAGTGGGGGCAGGGAGAGAGAAGGGGCCAAGCAGAACAGAACACATCTCGAAAGGTCTGGAGGTAAGTGGGGGTTTCTGGGCCCAGGATGCTGACAGGTGGCTCTAGCCCTGCTGCTTGCAGGTAACCAACTTTGAGGAACTAAACAGACTTTTCCCGACCGAATGGTAGGGCTTGACAAGAGATGGGCTGGAAGGATAAGCAAGGGCCTTAACTTGGAGGCCCTAGGTGGTACAAGCGTTTGAGGTGCTCCACTGCTAACTGAAAGGTTGGAGGTGCCAGTCCACCCAGAGGCACCTTGGAAGAAGCGCTTGGCAATCTACTTCCAAAAATTTAGCCACTGAAAACCCTAAGGAGCACAGTTCTGCTCTGACACACATGGGGTCACCGTGGGTCAGAATCAACTCTACGGCAACCGTTGACTTAAAGTTGGAACTCCAACCGCAAGGTTTGAGGAGCCATTGAAGGGGTACAGCTGATGAGATTATTTAGAAATATCACCCAGGTCGCCAAGGGGCAGAGGGACTGGGACAGGGAGCCCAAGAGTGACTGGTCAGAGTTCCCCTGCCCCGTCCTGCCTGCAAGGACCTCCTGGCAGGTGTGGGGTAGACCTGCCACCACAGGACCCCTGCCAGTTGCCCCACAGAGGCCCGTGAATGGCACTGCTCCGGACACCTCCCTCCCAGGTGTACCACCCATGTGCCGGGCTGGGCGTGGTCACCAGCACCCCTGCTTTATGCTTCCATCTAGCAGATGCTGGTGGAGCCTCCTGCACATCAGGCTTTGGCCTGGTCTCTGGGGACCATCTCGGGGAACACGCAGCTGAGCCACTGTGACGACAAGGTCGCCCAGGACAATGCAGGAGCTCATGCCAGAACATAAAATGGGGAGATGGGTTTGGAGAGGGGCAGGGGAGGCCCCCCGAGGTTGTGGTTGCCTGCAGGAGTGGGGGGCCCCCAGCTTTCAGCTCCCCCATCTGCCGACCCCTCCTCTTGGAAGAATCTCCGCAGGGTGGCACAGACAGGATCAGAAGACATTCCTAACTGGTGCTTGCCTCATGGAAAATGACGGGATTCCACCAAACCACGTATGCCTCCTCCCTGACCCCCAGCGGCCGGTTCTCTGGCCTCGGGCTGGTGCTGATCCGTGAGGAGGCGGGCGTGGCTGGAGACACCTGGCAGCATCTTTTCAGACCTTGCTGTCATTGTTAGGTACCATCAAGTCGATTCTGACTCATAGCGACCCCCTGTGTTACAGAGTAGAACAGCCTGATAGGCTTTTCTATGCTGTCATCGTTACAGGAGCAGATGGCCAGGTCTTTTCTCTCACAGAGCCACTAGGTGGGTTTGAACCACCAACCTTTTGGTTAGCATCCAAGTGCTTAACCGTTGTGCCACCAGGGCTCCTTGAAAGGAACTTAGCGAGCACCAGACTGGCTGGCTGGCTCCTCTGTGTTAAACCAATGGCCATCAATTAAAACCAAACAGTAGTCAAGCAGAACTAGTAAAAACTGTCGGCCTTGAGCATTATGCGCTTTTAAGATATATCTTTGTGGGATCAAATTGACAACAGCAACTCGAAAGATTAGATAGGAACCTTAGGGGCATAAACCTTAGGTTTCTGTTAATGGAGGAGGAACAACTCAGAAAAGGAGGGTGAGAATGGTTGCACAACTCAAAGAATGTCATCAACGTCACTGAATTGTACATATAGAAACGGTTGAATTGGTGTACGTTTTGCTGTATATTCTCAACCACAACGAATTAAATAATAAAAAAAAAAAAGAACAGTGGCCATCAAGTCAACTTCAACTCAGAGCGCCTCCCTGTGTTTCAGAGTAGAACTGTGCTCCATGGGGTTTTCAGTGGCTGATTATCCAGAAGTCAATTGCCAGGCCTTTCTTCTGAGGTGCCTCTGGTGGACTCCAACCTTTCAGTGAACAGCCAAGAGTATAAACCATTTGCACCTCCCACGGACTCCCTCCTCCGACTTAACGGATGAGGAAACTGGGGCCCCAAGGGAGGGGTCTCCCAAGGCTACCCCGAGCCAGGGCTGTTTGCCGCACTTCACTATAGATGGTCTGGGAGATAGATATGGCCAGCAAGTTGTTCAGCCCACCCGTCGCTGTGGGACAGGAGAGGAGCCTGCTCCTCTGGCCTTTCTGACCTCTCCCCCATGGCTCCTCACCCACTTCCCTTTCCCCTTTTCCTAACTTCATGAGTATTTGTGCCTGATTACTTCGAAACCAGTTAGGAGCCAGAAGGCCGGCTTCTGGGTGATGGCATGGCCAAGAATGAGCTCCCCAACCTCCGGAAGATCCTAACTCTCTGCAGACCTCAGTTTCCCGTTGGTAGAGTGAGAGTGGGGTGGGCTGGGCTGAGCGACCCCTCAGGGCCCCTCCGTCTTCTCCGTGCAGGTGTCTGTGACTTCGAGGGCGCCCAGCCCATGCTGTGCTGCCCAGGGGCGTGTTTCAGGGCGCTCAGCACCTGCTGTGCTGCCCAGGGGCACATTTCGGGGCTCCCGGCCCACGCCGTGCTGCCCAGGGGCGTGTTTCGAGGCGCCCGGCCCATGCCATGCTGCCCAGGGGCGTGTTTCGGTGCGCCCGGCCCATGCTATGCTGCCCAGGGGCGTGTTTCAGGGCACCCGGCATGCTCTCACTGCCCGGGGGCATGTTTCAGGGCACCTGGCACGTGCTGTGCTGCCCAGGGGCACGTTCCGGGGTGCCCAGCCCATGCTGTGCTGCCCACGGGCGTGTTTCAGGGCGCCTGGCCCATGCTGTTCTGCCCAGAGGCATGTTTCAGGGCACCTGGCCCATGCTGTGCTGCCCAGGGGCGTGTTTCAGGGCGCCTGGCCCATGCTGTTTTGCCCAGAGGCGTGTTTCAGGGCACCCGGCCCATGCTGTGCTGCCCAGGGGTGTGTTTCAGGGTGCCCGGCCCATGCTGTGCTGCCCAGGGGCGTGTTTCAGGGCACCCGGCTCATGCTTTGCTGCCCAGGGGCGTGTTTCAGGGCGCCTGGCCCATGCTATGCTGCCCAGGGGCACATTCCGGGGTGCCCGGCTCATGCTATGCTGCCCAGGGGCACGTTCCAGGGTGCCTGGCTCATGCTGTGCTTCTCATTACAGAGATCATCTTCCTCCGGGCCATCACACCGGCATATCCCGCCAACCAGGCCGACATCATCTTTGACATCACAGAAGGGAACCTTCGGGACTCCTTTGACATCATCAAGCGCTACATGGACGGCATGACCGTGGGTGAGTGGCCGGAGACACTCAGATTTACCCAGAAGCCCCCTTTCCTCCACATACCAAAGTCACAGCTAAGGTCGCCTGTGCCCTTCAGGCGGGAACACCTCTCTGGGCCAGCCCAAGCGCCCGTCTGAGTCCCCTTCCCAAACCCAACCCCACCAATCTTGAGGGCCCAGCAGCCCAGAGGTGCGGCACCTGTTCAGGATGCAACCCTGGCTGTGCCACTGACTCTCCAGTGACCCCTCTGGGCCTCAGTCTCCCCATCTATAAAATGGGTGGATTAAATACATCTCTGCCTCTCACAATCATGAGTTTCAAACGATATCACGCGTGAAAAGCGCTCCTGCCAGGGCCTGGTCTAGAGCAGGCCATCAGTCAGTGGGGGCTAACGTGGGTTTTAGTCTCATGGGGCAATGGAAAGAGTCCAAGGACCTGAGCTCCAGCCTGGCCTCGGAACTAGCCTGACTTGTCAGCCCCTGCGCATCACGGTTCCACGTCGCTCAGGCACACAGCCCTTCTGAATGCGAGCCAGCTGCTGTTCGTCTCTGGAGATGAGGTGCCCTGGGCACACAAAGGAGGGCTGAAGTGGAGGATGGTCAAGGGATGCTTCCTGGGGAGGGAGTGCTGAGCGGAGGAGGGGGCGGTGAGCCAGGCAGAGGGGACAGCCAGCCCTGGGGCCCAGAGGGCGGAGAGGCCGGTGAGTTTGGGAACCAACAGTCGTTCAGTCTGGCTGGAGGGAAGGTGGCGGTGACAGGGGAGGGGATGAGACTGGGAAAGTCCTGTTATTGCCTTCATTGCCATCCGTCCTACCTCCTCTGAACCGTCACGTTTTAAAGAAGTTTTACAAATTCATGGGTAAGGAAACAGTCCCATCTGCCGTTTGGGGCTTAGATTTAGACTCTGAACATTTTTAAAGCAGCTAAGTGGCCGTGGGCCAGTCCCTGTCCTCACCTGGGCCTCGGTTTCTCCTTTGTGAGTCGGGGGAGTGGGTCCCTGTCTCTCAGGCCCTGGCGTCCGCAGATGGCGCCCTAGCGGAGCGTTTGGGGATATGGCCTCTAGGTGGTGCTGTGGGATTTTAGGTCCCCGGTGGCTGCTGCCCCAAGCTTCACCGACCTTGTTAAACCGGCAGCTGGAGAAAAGGGAATCGTTATTCCCGTGTTCCCAAAGAGCCATTTATAGCGACTTTACAAGCTCTTAAATGGGTTTGCATGTTGTAAACATGACTGAGTCATTGGGGGTCCCCACCCCCAGCCTACTCCTCTGCTAATTAGTTAATTACTGTTAATGGGCATGCATTAGCCATAACGGAGCTTCCAAGCTTGTCAACAGTCATCACGCTTGCTGCTTGCCCTCCAGTCTCTGCCCTGCTCCGGGCCTCAGTTTTCCCAACTGTAAAATGGGAGGTTTTGATGACACGAACCTTAAGGGACCCTCAGGCTCCTGTGGAGAGGGTTTGCCGCCTCACAGGGCGGGGGTGTGGGGAGAGGGAAGGCTCTCACACAGAAGCCCCCTCCTGCTCCCCGCGCTGGATGCTGGGGCGGCAGGTGTGGCCAGCCGAGGCTGCTGCCTGGGGGAGTTCACAGCACTCAGAACCACCCAAGTCTGCAGTCATATTACAGCCTCTGCATTCACTCATTCGTTCTCTTGGTTACCACACTCCTGCCGAGCCCCGTCTGTGCCAGGCTCTGGGTTGGCATTGTGGGCCCCGAGGTGAACACCGCGCAGCCCCTTGCTCCCGGGGCTTTGCATTGTGGGGGAGAGGGAGACAGCCTAATAAACAGACAGTGAAATACTACGCATGCATCAAACGCTGGCAGCAAGCCTGCGTGGCCTATGAGGGCTGTCTTGAGGGACGAGTTCCCAACTGAACCCTTCCTGGGGTGACCCAGCTGGGGGCCAGGTGCTGCTGGGCACAGAACCACGGCCCCCAGCACGTCTCTTTGGCTATGTCTGTACTCCAAACAGAAGCAGGCTGGCCGTTCCTCTTTCTCCACTTCCCATCCACTGGGGCAGAAAATCCTGGCGCGTCAGAGCTGGGAGGCTCCTTAGACCATCTCTTCCAGTCCCTTCTTTGGTAGAGGGGGAAACTGAGGCCCAGAGAGGTGGGGGAGCTGGCCAGCCTGCTCACAGTGACTCAGGACAGAGTGGGGGACAGACTGGAGCCCCTGGGTGTGAGAAGGGACCACAGGAAGCAGAAGGCTCATGGGAATGGAGTGGGGGTGTGGCTGCAAGGGGCACCCCGGGAATGGAGTGAGGGTGTGGCTGCAGAGGGTGCCCCGGGAATGGAGTGGAGGTGTGGCTGCAGGAGGCTTCCCAGGAATGGAGTGGGGGTGTGGTTTCAGGGGGCTCCCCGGGAGCGGAGTAGGGGTGCAGCTGCAAAGCCTGAGCTTCTGGCGGGAGACAGCAGTGGCAGAGGGCCTCCCCTCGTGTGCTTGGTCATGCGTGCATGGTCTTTGGAATTCCAGCTGGTGCTGTGTGGAGCAGGGCGCAGCTGGCCGGGACTCCCTCCTGGCTGCCCCGCAGCCTCTGGTGCAGGGCCATGCTACCAGGTGGACCCTGGGCCTCTTACACTCCTTAGTCGCCTTGGAGGATCCCAGTCTGGGCTCCTGGAGATGAGCTGGTACCAGCCGTGATTCCCCAGGTGGGGCTGAGACAAACAGGGTGCAGGACCCAGGCCAGGTTTCTGGTCGCTCCGGTTCCTTGCTGTTGTTGGGTGCCATCCAGTCGATTTTCGACTCATAGTGACCTCGTGTGACAGAGTAGAACTGTCCCAAAGGGTTTTCTAGGCTGTAATCTTTACAGGAGCAGATCTTGGAGCCGCTGGGTGGGTTTGAACCACTGACCTTTTTAGCAACCGAGTGCTTCATCAGTACTCCATCAGGGCTCCTTGCTCTTGTTTTGCGCCCCCTAATTTCTCTGCTCGAAGGCTCTTCCCCGGGCTTCCTTACCCCCGCCCCCTTCCCTCTCCTCTTCCGCCCCACATCACCCTGTGCACCCTGGGAGCTCCCTGGCTCCTGGGGGGTCCTCCTGGCGCAGGCTGGCCCTGGACCGGGCATGGCACTGCAGCTTCGGACCTGTCCGCCCACAGTGGATTGTTCTGGACTGGACTGGAGCCCAGGCAGGAAGGCGCCCTGGGAACATCACCAGCTCGTTAGGGAGCCCTCTCACCCCTGTTCTTGGTCCTCCCACATACCGTGGGGGTGGGACCAGGTTGTCTCCAGTGTGCAGCCGAGGAGCTGAGTTCAGTGGCGGCCTGAGGCCGTCCAGCTGCTAGCCAGGGCCCGGGATTCTTCCACGTGTGTTCTTCGCGGTGCTGTGTTCGCGTCGAACAACGTTTTAGACAGAAGCCCTTTCTGTCAGCTGAGAGTGAGAAAGCATTATTCTGGGCCACGAAAGCCTCCGTCCGTTGTGGCCGGCAGGGTCTGGGGGGCTCCTGGGCCCTGTGGAGGACCCCTGGCGGCATGTGGGAAGAGACACCTCCTCACAGGTGTTCACTAGCACCTGCCTGCTGTACACCAAGCGCTGGGTGGACACTGGGTGCCCAGGTCAGGAAGGCTTCCTGGAAGAGGTGAGGCCTAAGCTGCCTCAAAGCATGAGAAGCAGCAGCCGACACTTAACCAGTTGCCGTTGGGTTGATTCAGACTCACGGTGACCCCACATGTGTCAGAGTAGAACTGTGATCCTTAGAGTTTTTGATGCTGATTTTTTGACAGTTTCAGCTCCAGGCCTTTCTTCTGAGGCCCCTCTGAGTAGACTCGAACCTCCAACCTTTTGATTAGCCCCTAGGTGTGTTAACCGTTTGCACCACCCAGGGACTCTGACTACCACTGAGGGTTATGTATTAGGAGCTGTTGTTTGTCACTGCCACACCCTGTAACTTGGTGGCATTATCTCCATTTAACAGATGAAGGGGGTCCCTAGGTGGGGCGAATGGTTTGTGCTCCACTGTTAACCTACAGGTTGTGGTTTGAACCTACCCAGCGGCTCCAGGGAAGATAGGCCTGGCCATGTGCTTCCGTAAAGATCAACCAAAAACATCAAACACGTTACCATCGCTTCCGACTCATAGCGCCCCTGCAGGACAGAGTAGAACTGCCCCATAGGGTTTCCAAGGCTGGAATCTTTACGGAAGCAGACTGCCACATCTTTGTCCCCCAGAGTGGCTGGTGGGTTCGAAACACCGACCTTTCCATTAGCAGCTGAGCGCTTACCCATGGCGCCAGCAGTGCTTCTCCGTAAAGATCACAGCAAGCAAACCCTATGGAGCAGTTCTGCTCTGCACACACGGAGTCACCATGGGTTGGAATAAACTCTAGGACACCTAAAGACGACAACAACAGATGAAAAAGCAAGGACCAGAGGGGACCAGAGACTTGCCAGTGGTCACTCGATGCTGGGGGCAGAGCAGGATCCAAGCCCACCCTGGCTCCATCGCCCCCAAACCCCACCATCCCTCAGCCCTGGAGTTCACACACGGCTTGTGCTGATGGGCAAAGTTGCTACGAGTTTGGTGTCCCAGGAAAACAATCAATGCACGAGCCGCCGGGCTCCGTCCCACCAAAATGACAGAAGAAGAAGAAAATGCCCCAAGTCAGCGAAGAATCCGAAACGGCCAGGCCTGCCCCTAATGTATCCTTTAAAAACCAGCGCTTAACTGGGATCAAGGCGGCTCTGAAGCCCGGCCGAGCCTGTTGTCTTTGCAAAGCCTTTTACAGGCTGCTGTTGCATTCCTCTGTAATCAGCTGTCAATGGAAAATGAAGAGTGCATTTTCCACTGGTGCAAAAATGCGCGATTAATGCCTGAGGTATTCTCCGCCACTACAAAGCCTTCCTTTTCCAGATTCATCTGAGCTCTGCCGTCTACGGGCTGTGATCAGGGGCACATGGGAGGGGGTTTTTAGGATAATCACTCTTTTGCAACGGCTCTGAGGGAGTGTGGACTCCGTGGCAGCATGGGCCATGTATCAGCAGCCTGTAGATCAGACCAAAAGGCCACCCGGGGCCAC